TCTGACCTGCCCCTGGGCGCCGGGGGCGGGGGGTGCGCAGGGACAGGGCTGTTCCCTCTGCGTCTCTGCCCTGCCCGACCTGGGGCTCCGGCCAGCAGGGAAGCCCCCCACCCCACAGAGCCCCGCACAAAGACGGGGACGCTCACCAAGCACTTCCAGAAGTCTGTGTCCAGCCACCGCCCACCACTACGCCGAGGAGGGGTTTCAGGTCTGTGACCATGAGATACGGACACTGCACAGTCACACCCTCTCACACCCCAAATGCAGCCCTGGGGACGCCTGTCCTGCCCTTGGAAAGCAGAGCTGGGAGGCACCAGATGCCCCGCAGCCGCCCGGCCTCGTGGGCAGCGGGACTGGAAGGAAAGCAGCCGGCAGCCAGGCCCCTGAGCTGGGGGGAGAGGAGACCACCCACCCAATGCATCTGAGCTGAGTAGACAGATTCCACTCTGCTTGGAAGACAGATTCTCCAGAAGAAACATGGAAAAAGGGAGTCAGCTACTGGGACTGGGGTGGGAACTCGAAGGGACACCCAGAGACAGCAGGCGGCTGGCGCCACGTGGCTCTGGGAAAGGCTGGGGGACACCGTGGCCCTGTGTGTCTGGGCGCCAGCCGCTGAACCTCTCTGAGCCGTTTTCTTTTTAGCGAAGTGGCAATCGTGACCCCTGCCCCTCCCCAGGTTTCTACCCCAGGGCCCTCCCGAGGAGGGGCTCCTGTCCCTGGGCCACCCTCACCCCTGAGCCACAGGCCCCCAGCCCATGGGGGTGCGGGAGGTTTGCTTCCTCTGAGCACTGCAGAGGCCGACAGGGCGGGAATGCTGGGTGTGGGCACCAGGGACCAGCCTGTGTGTGGCCAGGCTCACCTCGTGCCCCCTCCACGGCCGAAGGACAAGACTGTGGGACTTGGTCTCTGGGGGGGCCTGAGACCAAGGGCAAACCCAGCTTTTCCAGAAGTCGGGGAACCGCAGCAGAGGGAGCTGGCAGGCCATAGGTCCTAGCAGGCCGGGAGTGATGGGTCCACCCGGGCCGCGCCTGCAGGACTGAGCCCGGGCTCCGGGAAACGGGCCACTCACATGCTTGCCTCGGGGACAGAGTCACCTCGGGGACACTGCCCAGAAGCAGAACCCCCCAAGGTCAGAACCTTGGGTTTAGGCACCCAAGGCAGGGGTGGACGGCGGACTGGGCTCTCACAGGACATCAGGCATGAAAGAGAACACGCCTGTACCTTCGTGCAGGAGCAAATTTTTTAAAATTAGGACTTTATGTTTTTAGAGGAGTTTTACTCGGAGCGTGTCCATGTTCCCCTCCCCCCACACATGCGCAGCCTCCCCCGTGATAAGCGTCCCTCACCAGGGAGGGACATTTGTCATGACAGCCAAAGGCCGTGGTTTACATTAGGGGTCATTCTTGGTGTTGCATATTCTGTGGTCGGGCTACTGAGTGACGCATGGGCGTGTATCCAGCACAACGGCCTATGGAGTAGACCCACCGGGCTCCACCTGCTCCTCCGGTGCCCTGTACACCCTGGCACCGCTGACACTGCACTGTCTCCGTGGTCTTGCCCTGTCCAGATGTCGCAGAGCGGGAGTCACAGACCCTGTGGCATTTCCAGACCGGCTTCTTTCTCTCAGTGACATGCACTCAAGCTCCCTCGGTGTCTGCAGTTGCCTCACAGCTCCCTTCTTTTCAGTGCTGCGTAATATTCCACCATCTGCACGGACTGCAGCCTGTCCATCCCCACCTGCGGAAGGGCGTCTGGGCTGCTTCCCAGTTTGGGCGAGTAGGAATGAGGCTGCTGTGAACATCACACCCGTGTGCAGGGGTTTGTGGGGACAAACGTTTTGGGGGCCTTTGGGTAAATGCCACTAAGCAGGGCTGCTGGGTTGTAGGATAAGAGCGTGTTTAGTCTTGTAGGAAACGGCCAAGCTGCCCCCCCAGTGTGGTCACACCAGGTCGCATCCTCCCCGGAGTTCCTGCGGTGGCTGGTGTCTCACTGGTGCTTGGTGCTGCCGTGTCCTGAGTTCCGTCACCTTAGTTGCTGTGTAATGGCACCTTATTGCGTTGAATTTGCATTTCCCTGATGACAGAAGATGCGGAGCATCTTGTCCTAAACTCAGGCACCATCCACATGTGTTCTAGTGAGACTGGAGATAAGCAGGGAGGCCATCGGCCACCCCAGAGAGAGCATTTTCCATGGACACAGCAGGCAGACGTGGAAAGAAGCGGGGCTCTGGGCTTGGACGTGCTCGTCTCTTCCCCACCGTGTGGTCTCCCAAGCCTGAGTGTCACCTGTGCAGTGGGGTGACCTCCCCCCTTCACTTGACCATGGATTAATGGAGGTGGCCCGGTGCCTGGGAGAATTCAGCACATGCTACGGCAGGGATGCAAGTCGAACAGCCCTGGACTGATGTACTTAAGAACTGAGAAATCGGGACGATGAACAGATTATGTTTTCAAGGACATAAACACAAGAGTTCACAGAATGGCCACTGACCATGAACTTACACTTCACTCGGGCAGGAAAACAAATGCAAATCAACAGGGTGCAATGTCGGGAGACACACGCACACTCAGTGGGTGGGAACTCGAACCGGCCGCTTGGGATGGCCATGTGGCCCTGTCTACAGGGCACTGAACGTCATCTTCTGCTGAGAACTCCTGTAATTTCCCCGTATGGGTACATAAGGGCAGGTGCGGGCGCATTTTTAACAGCGATCAGGGCACTGCTCAGAAGATGCCGTCTGAGTACCGGGATTCGAAACAGCCATTCAAGAGATACTACGTCCAGAGGAGAGAGACAAATGAGAACACTCAGGGGAAAAAAAAGGAGGACCCTGTTTGCAAAAACAGTGGGAAGAATTTGTTGGAGTTTGCGCAGCCGGGAGAAATGATCAAAGGTTATCTCTGGGCCATGAGACTGCGGAGGCAGGAATGTTTCCCTCGGAGAAATGGTCTCACGGAGCTCTGACAGTCGTCCCAATGGCCTCTGCCTCTTCCTCACATGTGGTACATTCACAAGAAGATAAACCTTTGCCTCAAAGATCTGAAGGGGGTGCTGGCTAACGTTCAGGACCCAGGGGGCGTGTGTGTAAGCCGGAACCAGAGCAGAGGAGACCACCTGCCGTCATGTCCTCCCAGCAGGGACTGCCCCTGGGCCCCCAGGGGGGCAGGAGGCAAAGGGACAACACCTGACTCTGTGATGGACCGGGTGGCCTCCATTCACCCGTGCTGATTCGCACTTGCCAGTGAGATGCAGCTGATGCTAATACGGGGTGACGCTCACACGCTCCCATACAGGGGAGACGGGCGTGGCGGTCACAACAGGGAGCACACTGCAGTCCTGCCTGGCTGCGGCCCGCCGGCTCACCTGCAGGTCCTCATTCGCCTGCCCCTGGGGCTCCTTCCCTGCAGTCTCACGGGCCCCAGAAACCAGCTTTTCCCGAGCCCATGGCAGGGACTTTGGCTCCACTGCCTGCTGCCAAGTGAGAGATGCTTCCTACTCCGCAGCCTATGGCTCCAGGTCCTGCTCAGACTCCTCGCTGAGCTGCTCACTTCCACAGCCTCCCGGCGATGCCTTGCTGGTGAGTGGGCTCAGCGGCACCGACCACTTAGTCAGGACACAGTCACACCCGGCATCTGCCACGCAGCCTGCGTGGGGCCGAGTGCCAGTGGTGCAGGGAGATGAGAGGCACGGGGACAGCCAGGAGGGCTTTGGTCACACCTGGAGCGCTGGACACCAGGAGAAGGGGTCTGGGGTTACCCACTGGGAGAGCATGGGAGGCCCTCACTCCAGGGGAAAGTCAGGTTTTGAGGCAGAAATCAAGAGCTGATAAAGGGAGAGAAATGCAGCAGGACGTGGGGAGGCAGCAGGTGTGAGGACCCGGGAGCTACTTGAGGCCTTGGCAATGGCAGAGCCCAGGCAGGGACCCCGGAGGGGCCTGCTGAGAGGCCAGGAGCACCACCCACCAGGATGCTTGACCTGTGGACCAAGGGTCAGAGTGAAACACGCAGATTATCACGGGCAGGCTACCGAGGAGCTTATTTCATCTATTTGTTAGAAATATTGGGCTTGGCCAGAAAGTTCATTTAGTTTTTTTTTCTGTACACTGGCTACAGTAGTGCTCAGTGGTCTTTAACTCTGAGACGATTTTGTTAGTGCATCATGACAGCTGCCGTATCAGCGTGCGCTCAAGAAAAACTACTGGTGAATTTCTGTGCAGCCGTTTTAATACTGAAGATGGAAGGAGACACACAATGTTTTCAGTGTATTATACTTTATTATTTCAAGAAAGGTAAAAACACAGCTGAAATGCGGAAAAAAAAACGTGTGCAGTGTGTGGAGAAGATGCTGTGACTGACTGAACGTGTCAGAAGTGGTTTTGGAAGTTTCTTGGTACTACTGACATTTGATCAAACAATTCTCTGCTGTGGGGCTGTCCTATGCACTGGAAGATGTTCAGCAGCACCCCTGGCCTCTCCCCACTAGAAGCCAAGAGTGGAAGAGAGCGGACATACTAAAAATATCAAAATCAATAAAGTTAATGGTAAAAATGAAAAATGTGTCTCCTATTTTAGGGGAAAAAAGTAAACGGACTTTTTGGCCGATCCAATGTGTGTCCATGTCTATCACCGTTAAGCTCCAGATGACCTGGGTGTGCTCACAAGAGGTGTTTGATTCAGAAATTCTGATGAAACGAAACATTATTGGTAGGTTTTCAGTCCATTCTGTTACACTTTTAAAAACTAAGAACACTGAGGTCTTAGGTCTAAAAGCATTCGTCAAACTCCTGTAGCAGGTGGGCTCCCTACCCGAACAAGTACTTGGGTCATCCCGGACACCTTCGAGGGGAAACTGAGGCCGGGAGGGAGGGGAGAGTGCGAGGGAGCACCCTTCCAGCTCTACAATCTCAAAATCTGCCTAATGAACGAACGAAAGGCACAATCACACCGAATAACAGGAAAGGACATCTTATGAAATAGACATATAAAATTTAATTCCTTTGGTTTAAAATACATCTTCAAGGATGCAGTTAAAAACAGTAACAAAATCAATCTCATAAAACAAAATAGAAAATGCTGTTATATGACCCGTGTCCCACATCTTAGAAAGCCAGCGATTTAGTTCACACACTTCATCAGAATATTCTAACGTCAGACTGTAGCTACAAACCCCACTCTCCCAAACCAGCACCCTGACCCTGAGATACCCGTGATTTATGTCAGAAGACTGCGCTTTTTGGCATGTCACCTGTGGGAACACGTGCACAGAAGGCCCCCCGCCATGGCGCCCAGTCTCGCGAACCCGCACACGCCTCCTGCAGGTGCCGCACACCAGACGGTTAAGGTGTGGAGGCCCCGACACACAGCGGGACGGCCGGGGACCCCGCGGGCCGCGCCCCTGCAGTGCGGTGGCTGTGGGCTGCGTCGGGTGTGTGTAACTTGCCCGTGTCCCTGTGTCCGCACACACGGCACACGCGCCTTGCAGCAGTGTTCCCTTTACTTCATTTGTTAGTGCAGAAATCCAGAAGCGACACCCACAAAAGCAAACCCCCGGCCGCCGGGGAAGGTGTGGTGAGGCGACGGAAGGGCGGCTGCCGCAGGGAGGTGACCTGGTGGGTTTCGGTCTGCCTTGGGGGCACACCGCCAAAAATGACCTTCCGCCTGGGCGACGGCTCCAGGTGGTCCTCACCGCGGCCCTTCACTGTGTGCACGGACACCGTGCTCATATATTACCTATGTAGAGGATGTGTATGTACACATTTACAGACACCGGCCTTCAAAATGTATTGCACTTATGTACACTCGAGCGTCAGCTTAGCTAATTCACACTGTGACCCACTGACATTCTTCATAAGGCAGCAGTAGCAAAAGAAGACTCAGTAACATGCCGTCTTTGAGTAAACACTTGGGTGGTGATGGAGGCTAAGGGAGAAAGGGTGGACCCTGTCTTCTTGGGGCCACTCCCACTGACCTGAGGCAGGTGGTCACACTGAGTGAGAGCCACGCCCACCGCCCTTTCCGACCGGCGCTGGCCCGCAGGCCCACCACCACGGGAGGGGGGAGTGGCCCCCTATTCTCAGCCTGACCACTGTGCTATTCACCTGAAACCAATACAAAATAATATTGAATGTAACCTGTGATAAAAAAATAGTTTTATAAATAACAGCAGATATCCTACAGGTTCCCAGAGAGTCTGTTAAATGTTGGAACAAGGTTTTCACTTTTAACCCTAAGCAGCTGTATCGGAAAACTCAAATGTAGTAACAGTCTGTGGAGGTCTGTCGTCTGCAAGCCGCCGGGGCAGCGTGATCAACACCATCTCCGCGCCCGGCGTGGCTCCCAGTGGAAAGGACACCCTTCCACCGGCGCCCGTGGCACCTGCGTACCGGGAAGGTGGCTAACCAGCATCCCGACGGCTGCGCAAACAACAGGACCTACGTGGCACCTTCGCTGAGCTTGTGGGTACCCGGGGGCCGGGACGGCCTCAGATCTCCGTGAGGGTGAGTCGGTAGGATCCGCCCACCTCCTCCACCTGCAGCTGGAAGGTGTCCTCGTTGGAGTAATGCTTCACGATGTTGTCGTCCATGTTGACCAGGATCCTGGAAGGGGGCGAGACAGACGCGCTCAGTCCCGCTCACTCCGGAGTCAGGCTCAGTTCGCGGGTCCTGCTACTAACTAGCTGTGACACGTGAGGCAATGGCTGAAACTCGCTAAGCCTCGCTGTCCCCAACTGTGACATGGGGTGGAGAATAGCGCCTGTCTTACAAGGCAGCTGTGAGGATTAAAGTGCTGGTAACAGTGCGGGGTGTGTCCTTGGCACAACACGCCAGCTTGGTCCCTGCTCTACTTCGGCACGGAGGCGCCACCCAGCGAACAGTGGCTACGGTGATAAACACAGACGCAGAAGCAGCCCTTCACCGGTCCAGCTTTGGAAGGCATGTCAATAAAATGAACCTATCTGAAGACACAGCCCCCGACAGATGACCTTCCTGGCACGTTATCCTCCAAGTTTAATCGCATCACCACTAGGTCCAGCCCTGGCCCCCGGCCCATCCACAAGATTCCGATCAGGATTTGCTTTAGAATTAAAACAAAATATTTTTATGCGATACACTGCTTACCCATACCAAGCAGCATAGACGCTTAAACAAAATGGAACTAAACACGTTAATTTCTGGACAAGGATGCCCTGTCCTGGGGCTGTAAACGGGGCCCAGGCGGGACAGCAGAGCGGCAGGAGCCGCGGCCCTGCAGCTGCTCGGGGCGCAGCCTGACCGGAGCCTCCGCACCAACCTGCTCTGGCCTCGGGCTGTGGGCCTGCGAGGCCTCACCTGCCCACTCTGCACGGTGGTGCCCACGGCACAGGGCAGCTCGAAAGGCAACATGTGGCGCGCCCGACGCAGGGCCGGACCCTGACCTCTACAGAGGTGCAAATGCAAATTTTACTTGAGAGAAAACCCACGAGGACGTCTGAGAAAGGCGACCGAGGTTCTGGGGGTAGTTTTCGAGGAAGCCCGTTCTCCCATCCACGTCTGTTCCGGACGGGGCACCCATGCAGGGGGACAGCAGTGAATCATGGGACACCAGACAGACAAAACTCACCCTTTCTTACACTTCTTGAATATTTTCCCAATCTTGTCATGGGGAACCTCGTATTTGTCGGAGATCTGAAAGAGGGATGAAAAACAACCATAAAATGCCGTTTCAGCGGCTTTAACACGGGAGCTGCGTCAACATTGGTGCGGCAGCCACTCAACTCTGCTTTTCAGAAGTGTGCGCCCAAAGGCCCACGTGAGCCCCAGTCCACTCTGGGGCAGGGGCGGCACCTGCCTGCGGTGGAGCCTGGAATCGGGGGCTTTATCTCCCCCTAGTTTACAGGGGCCCACTGATGATTATGTAGTCAGTTTTCAAGTAATAATTTGCAGAACAGTTTTCTAAACATTTTTGTGTTCCACAGGCAGAGGAGGGAGGTGGTGCAGGAAGGGAGTGAGAGAGAGACATGGGTCAGCTGCCTCCCCCACACACCCTGACCGGGACAGAACCCCAAACCCAGGCACCTGCCCTGACTGGGGATCAAACCCGTGACCTTTTGGTGAATGACACCACACCGGGGAGGGCTGCAGAGCAGCCGTGATTCACAGAGGGTCCGAGCAGGGGCACAGAGATGCTCGTCGGCCGCCCCCAAGCGCCCGGCTGTTCGCCGACACTGCACATCCGTGTGGAGCGCTTGTGACGTGCGGGGACCCGGCGCTGCCACCACCTCGTGAGCTGAAGGCCACCATTTCCACCAGGCTCCCTCCCTGTGTTGCACAGGTTCCGACAAACGCACACTGACATGTACCCACAGTCACAGACGTGCATCCCAGTCACGCGTGCCAAGACCTCACTCTGGAGTCAGAAGATTCCAATCAGCTCCCGTTCGCTTACAGAGCAGGCGGCCTCTCTGAACCATAGCCCACCCCCCACTCAGTAACTCCCCACAGGCAGATGTGAGGTGTACCGCGTGTCCAGCACCACGCAGCTGTGACCTTCAGATGTGGGGTTACGGCGTGGACAGAACAGTTCAGTGTCAGAGCCTGAGAGGAGCGCCCGTGTCCCTGCTCCCACACCAGGAGCCGCAGAGGCCACAGAGGGGGCAGCGCCTGCTCAGCGGGGCTGCGGTTCCGGGGGCGTCGCAGGCGCACGACTTACAGCTTCCACCAAGCCCTTCAGGGACGGACTCCTGAGCATCAGGGCGTCAAAGACCTCCTCGGACTCCTTCCGCACGTACAGCAGCACTGATCCGCAGTCGGGAGGGCGGGGTGGGTGAGAAAAAGGGACACGGTTCACTCGTGGGAGCAAGAGGAGAAGACGGACCCCGCGTGCCGGGCAGAGCAGAGCAGAGCATCCGTCCGCCCCGGGGCGGCAGCCTGCACCAGTGCCACGTCCGGCCCGGGGGACGCAGCTTTCAGCCTCTCGGAACTCGGCCCCCGTGCGCCCCAGCCCACGCCCAGGGCTGGTACAACAGAAAAATACTCAGGAAGTCAAACCGGGTGACAGTGGTTTGAGCCATTTCTGCTTCTGACAGGTGTGGAGCTACTTCCAATTTTAACCCCCCACCCCCACCCCGAAACCAAGCCAACACACCTCTCTTCGGTTCCTCCGTCCGGGCCAGCTTCGCGGGAGTCGGGATCACAAAGTCATCTTCGGACCCGAAGGGCCCCCTTTTCAAGCCTGATCTGCAGGAGCAAAGGTGCAATCAGTGACTTTGACTGAAGGCGTTGGCAGGGACAGAGAGACTCGGGGTATGCCACTGAACTTCACAGGTAAAACAACCTTCGTTCTGCATCTGCTCCAGCTTCCTTATTTTGCGGATGCCAGTCTGAGGCCCAGAGAAAGATATGGCTGACCCGGCCCCCACTACTCAACGGCAGGGCTGGGGGCACACCCAGGCGGCCGGCCAGACACCCTCCCGTGCTCTGACACTGGGCTTAAGCTGCCTTCCCAGAACAAACAGTTCCTCTTCAGGAAAACTTTTATGGAGGCAGAATTTGAAATGTACGTCGAGGTGCCAAGAGAGTAGAGGGCGTGCCAAGGAAAGGGGAGACTGTGAGCAGGAAAATGCAGAGCCAGGCGGGCGGAGGCCGACTGCGCCACAGGAAGCCAATGCCAGCAGGCGGGCGGGCGGGCTCGCTGGGGTAATTTCTTGACCACTCGGCCCTAAGGAGCCTCGGGTTTTCTGTTGTGGGTGTCAGGGAACCCGGGAGGCCAGAACGCAGTGATCACAGTATGTGGGCACGGGCGGAGGGGCTCCGGGACCCCCAGGCAGAGGGACCAGGGAGCAGACTTTGGGGACAATGACAGCACAGGGTCCCCCGGAGGGTGGAAACTCAGGGGTCGCGGACCAGGCACACTGAGGGAGGGTGGGTGCAGGCGTGGCTGGCCGTCACGGGCGGACGCTATGAATAAGGGTCAGCCTGGGCAAGCGAGGAAAGCAAAGTGAGTGGCGGAACTGGACTCCAGCTCACTGCCTACGAAACTGGAAACTAGGGGCCCACACTGATACAAATAAATGAGCAAATCGCAAGTCTGACAGGCGCGAGACATCTCCGAAGCCACAAAGCACCTTCCCCACAAACGGAGAAAGTGTGACCTCACAGCAGGGAAGCCTGGTGACATCACCTTCATCGAGATAGCAGAGGGACACCCTTAGCAACGGGGTGGATGGACGAGGCTTGGAAAAGACTGACACTCCTGCCTGGATGCCGAATCGAATTGAATCGAATCAGAGCACGAGACAGCAGTGGACAGACCCAAACTGGGGGACGCTCTACAAAACAAGCGGCTGGTAATCCTCAGGGCGTCAGCTCAGGAAGCTGAAGGGGCTGAAGGAGAAACGGCCCCTAAACCCATGACCGGGCTCTGAACCGGGCCCTTTCTTGACGTGACACTGTTACCAGAACAGCTGGCACCATGTGAAGGGAGTGCGAGAGGGCTGGCTGCAGCCGGGGCCTCGGGGTCCGTGTCCCACCCTGGACAGCGGGGCGGCAGAGCCCCGGTCGCAGGGAACTTGTGCCAGGTACACAGGGATGAGGGTCCAGACACCCACCAGCTCGGGGAGAACTGAGTTCTCTGCACTCAACTTGCAGTTGTTCTGTGCATTTCCGATTGTCCCCAGATAAAAAGACTTAGTGAACGAAAACAAGACAAATCTTACCCTTCGCCCTCGAGTTCTTCTGAGGCAATGGGAAGGACCTGAGAACAAAAACAGATTGCTTTTCAAGTGCGTGCTCAGACTAGGTCAGACCACCACCAGATTCTTCCCGAAGGGAGACGGACCAGACCGAGCTCGCACAAAGCCGGTCGCCTCGTTTCCCACTGGCCGGACGGATCCTCAGGACCTCCGAGCAGCTCGGGCGGTGGCCCTGAGCCGGCCTGAGAAGGACGCTCCTCCTCCCCGCTGCCGAGCGACTGGCCGGCGCTGCCGCTACGGACCGCAGAGCGGAGGAGTCACGGCAGAGGCCGGGGACCCCCGCACCTACGCTATTTATTATCTGACCTTTGTAGGGGAACCTGCCGAAGCTTCTCATTAGAACTGAGAACACGGCAACGGCTTCCCCCGAGAACTCTAAACCCCATCCGTTGGTCCACACAAATCGAAACCGCTGTGTGCACTGCATGGCGGTCGTTCACGTCAGGCCCCTCCGCCTCGCCCCTGCGGCTCTGCTTGTAGCCCAGCCACGCCCCTGCTCGGAAGGGTGCCCCTGCTGCGGGGACACAGCTGTCCTCGGGCCAGGGATGACCCTGTGTCCCGTGGGGACACCTGAGCCCACGCACTCCAACCTGTGTTACCTACCACTCTTGCCCCTTGTAACTGAGCTGAACGTAAATAAGCAAACCCAGAGGACCTAGCTCGTGGGTTTGGCGCTGTGTTTCTGAGTCTGGCTGCCCCCACGGCCCGTGCTACAAGGGCCTCGTCGCCCCAACTGACAGGCCAACGAGCCGGCCCTGACGCCACTCCCAGCTCCCTAAGTTCCAGCTTCCGGTTGCCGAAGCCCGTCTGTCTGGAGTCTGCCCTCCCCGCGGCCACCCGGGACCCCGGTTACGCACGTGCGGCCCCCGCTGAAGGTTGGCGAAGTGCACGTCGGGAATGAAGAGGACAGGCTGGGTGTCCAGGTCGACAGAGGGCTTGAAGACCGTGACGTCCATTCGCTTGTGAGAGGGCAGCAGCGGCACTTTGACGTCAGCGACTGGGAAGGCAATGGGGACACCACAGTCAGCAGCCTGTGGACGCAGGTGACAGTGCATTCCTAAACACTGACACATGGAACTGGGCCCCTAGGAGACGCAGGTCACGTCACCCGAGCTATGGAAAACCACGTCAAGGAATGCGTCACTTTTGGTTACTGCCCTAAAGCCACTGGACATCTCGTTACAACCAGAGGAAGGAAGTTCTACACACACACACACACACACACACACACACACACACACACACACACAGACCTGGAACGCAGGCAAAGCGCGGTGAGCATTTGTCTGAAAGGCTGAAACACAGTCTCCATGTAGACATAACTTGGGCTTCACCTTGGCTCCAGCCTCGTTCAATAGCTCCCATTCTAACAGCAATGCCCTCCCTACACCTTCACCCTCAGACCTGACCCGTGGTGGGACTCAGAGTTCGCGCCCCTGCCCGGGTGTCAGTTCATGAAATCACAGCGTCTGTCCTCCCCCACCGTCCTTCCTCCCCCACCGCCGGGCCCTGCGGCACCCAGGGTGCACTCCCCTGGTTAGCTGGCTGCTCTCTGAGCGCGCTCTCTTGGGCGCTGGCCCTCTGCTGCCATGGGCAACCCTGGCTAACAGGCTACAGGGCAGACACACGCTGTGGAGTGTGGCAGAGCGTCCAAAGGCCAGAGGCCAGCGGCCCACGTACTGCAGATGAGGCGCCGAGGCACAGAACCCCATTCTTTTCCTTTTAGTGGACAGACAGGGTTTTGTGAAGATGGGCATTGGGCACGTTAAAAAAAAGCAAGCAAGCTTTCATGGTGAAATGTCCAAATAGAGATTCTGCAAATATTAGAATATGATGTGTAAGAAAATTGCTCGCTTGGAATTAAGACATCCTGAATTCCCAAGGGCGCTGTTGTTCTTAAAAATCCAGGCAAGTCCTGATTTTACCATCAGCTATTCAGGAGGGACAGGTGCTGTTGTTCAGGACGGCAAGCAGCACCCTGAGCGAGACCTAACAGCCAAAGCAGCCCAGACTCCGGAGAGACGCAAGGTTCCGCCCCGGGGCACCCCAAGAACGTGACTTAGTGCAGCTGTCCCCCTGGTTTGAGTCTCGTAAAGGGAGCAAGGCCACTGCTCTACCAGAGTGAAAAACGGCCCCTGTTTTTCCCACCTCCCGCCGAACCCGCAGCCACCGTTCTGAAGGGACAGGGTCTGAAACGGCCAAAGCGACAAGGCTACTCACAGGCGTTCAACTGGGAGCTGGGGTCAGTGCACTTGCCTTTCCTTTTGCTCTGTTTTCGCTCTTCATCCCTGATTTTCCGTTCGGCTCCCTGTGGGTCAAGACCAGACGGGACAAAATGTGATTCTTTTGATCTGACCCTCTTCACGATATTTAACCCTGACCCCTGACACGGGGTGGGGACGCCTCCTCTGTGGAGACGGAGTCCGTGACCTACTGCATTCATGGCCTCATCACAGCAGCTTTTTCCAAAAAGCCTGTTCTTAAAACCATCTCTCTCTGCGACATCACGGGGAGGAGACACACCAGGCGCCCCCCCACCCCGTGGCGGGTGTGGCCGGGCTACGTGGGCCCTGAGGAGGTCTGCTGGGGTGCCCCACCTCCAACACGTGTGTTAGAGGAGGACATGCGTGAGACTGCTCCTGCTGCTCGGGGACAAGAAGGTGGGGACACACCACGGACCCGACTGGACCGTACATTTTTACATGGGCCGGTCAGTGCCACGGGCTGGACTCTCTCCTGGGACTTGGGGTCAACCAAGTGACAGGTAAGACCCGTGACAACGCACGTGCTGAGGCCGACCCGGAAGATGGCAGGAGCGCGCAGAAGGGAAGCGGGCACTGTGCTTGCGGGGGGGACACACGTGCCACCTGTGCAGAGGGTCCTGCCACCTTAGAGAGCCACAGGGCGAACGGGCCAGGTCAGTGAGAGACGTGACCGGATGGGGCGAGTGTAACAAAATGCACACGGGGGTCGGTCGTCTTGCTCGGCCTCCTGGCACTCATCTCTGGGTGGTGCAGATTTCCTGACAATGGCACCCCGCTAAGCAGGAACCGGTGGCTTGTTTTTCTGTAAATGCATCCCCCAATACCAAAGAGAAGCAGCAGAAACCACTCCGTGACGTCGGCACCATGACAGTCACAGGACGTTAAAAATCCGCACACAGAACCACCCCAGCCTCTTCGAGAAGGTGCCGCCGCACTGACATCTGCTTATGAAAATCGCCGACACCGACACAAACACGACACCGTCCCGGGTGGCCCAGCCGCCGCTGGGTGGCACTGGTCTGTTGTTCTCTCTCTCTCTGTCCCCCACCCCTGCCCACCGAGGGAGGCTGACGAGACTACTGTCCTCCTCGCGGGTCGGCCCAGCCCTACAGGACGGTGAGCAGCTTCTGCTTCCACTCGGAGGAACACAGACCAGATTCACCCCCACCCAGAAGCCGCTGAAACATCGACCTCCACAAGACGCAGGGAAGGATTTCTGAGGCCCCGGCCACCGGGCCACGAACCGCAACCCCCGAGAAGAAGGGACAATGAGGTGAGCTCCGGGGGTCCCATGGACACTGTCTGATTTTCAGGCTGTGGCGGGGGGTGATGCCCGGTGGTCTCGAGCCAGGTTCCCTGCGCTGAGCAGAGGGGGCTCCAGGTTCAGAGATGGCCAGGCAGCGGCCCAAGTAGCACGTGGGAGCCGCACCCTACCAGACATGCTCAACGAAGTGTCCTTTTTCCATTAGAAAGAGATGCTTTCTTCTTCCCTACACAGTGGGACCGTGTACTGTTTTATATTTACCGTAGCACGTTCATGTCAACCTCAGTGAAAAGACCCTAGGCTTCCTCTGGGGGAGGGTCCACCTCCCACGCTGTGCTCCAAGAACCCCCGCCCGATCGGACAGTCTCACCTTGTCACAGAAGACCTTGATCTGGCAGTAGGCCCGGTGCACGGGCTTGTTGCTCCGGTTGTTGTAACTGTAGGTGTCGATCTGAATGTTGAGAGGCAGCCCCTTCACGCCCTTCTGAGAGGAGAAGTCTGTGCTCAGGCAGTTCACGGAGATGAACACCTGCAAAGAGAAGGTTCCGTGAGTCCGGACACGGAGTCAGACACCTCAGCCCCGCTCGTAGAAATGACAACATCGTTGAAATCCCTCAAGTTTCCTCTGAATGAGCGTGCAGCTTTGCATCTCAAAGAAATTCTGCAAAAGCAAAGGGCTCGTTTTAAAACTCCCTTCAGTCACTGCAATGGCAGCTTTCCAGGCAAACTGGGCGGCAGCTTTGAAACGCCGTCTGCTCCAGCCTCCAGAACCCGCACCCAGCACCCCGCAGCGGGCAAGCCACCTTCGACGGCCCTGGGGACTGCTGGCCCACAGCCCAGGTTTTCTTTGCAGCTGTTGTACAGCTTAGTCTGAACTCTCTGGGAAGCTGTCTGCATTCAGGTCTGTACCACCACTTAGGGCCACTGGCTGAGCCTGATCGATGTCTGAATATTCTGGGATTTATGAAGTCAGTGAGCAGCATTACTAGAGCGGTACCCGAGAGTCGCAGGCAAACCCTCGCACGGCGAGTAAACACACTGCGTGTCCCCTCCCGTTTTCATGATTCTGGATTTAACCTCCCCACACACAGTCACGATGCTTTAGAGCTCCCGTTCAACTATTCAGTTTTTTTTTTTTAAGACTTTATTTATTTATTCTTGCAGAAAGGGGGAAGGAGGCAGAAAGAGGGAGAGGAACACCAATAGGTTGCCTCTTGCACGCATCTCAACCCCAGGCTGTGCCCTGACCAGGAATCGAGCCAGCAACCTTTCTCTGTGCAGGAAGATGCCCAACCACTGAGCCAGCCTGCCAGGGCTCAACTATTCAGTTTTAGAATTTATTTCTGGTGTGCGAGCACCGCGCAGTGGCTATCACTGGAATTACAGTTTTTAAACCCGGTTGGCACATTTCAAAGCCCTGAGACCTTCCCGTCTCATGGCTATGTTTCAGGGCTGTGTTCCTTCCTGTCCTCAGGGCCACAACCCCTCAGCCCTGACAACCAAGAGCAGATCCGCTGCAGCAGAGTGGGTGCCCTGGCTGAACCAAGGCCCAGCCAGGGGTCAGTTTAATTAGGTTAGAAAAGGGGGAAAACATAAGAGAAGGGACTGTGAAGAGAGTAAGGAGATAAAAAACATATCGTCACAAAGACAAAGAATGCTCTCTGGAAGGTATGCACAATGCTGACAGTTTTTATTCCTGCTCCAGTCTCTACACTGCTTCTAACTAGGACATGGCTAAAGTAAAAGGCTGAGAATTTGTTCAATTCAGCGGAAGTGAAATTCACTGCCTGTCTTGCCTCACTCGCTCTCCACCCAGACTGTTGACTCCCCATTCCAGGAACACCCTTCGAAGGTGTGGTCTGCCCCGCCTCTCTGGTCACCTCCACAGAATGTCCCCGTCATGGAGTCAGGGGCCAACAGCAGTGACCCCACTCGCTGAGCCCCTGACGTGGCTGGGCCCGTGCCGGCAGGTCACCCGCAGGGTCTCATTCCACATCACCGCGACCCCGAGAGACAGCACTATCCCTCCTCTTAGATGGCAAGATGGAGAGATTTTTTGTTTTTAAAGATTTGATTTAATTATTTAGTGGGAAAGGGAGGGAGAAAGAGAGGGAGAGAAACACTGATGGGTTGCCTTTTGCGCACACCCCAACCCAGGCATGTTTCCAACGGGGAATTGAACCGGCAATCTTCCCTTTGCAGGATGATGGCCAACCCACTGGGCCCCACGAGTCAGAGCTACGTGGAGAGATCTTCTAAAACTGTTCTCAACGTAGACAGCACGGGGCCAGGATGTGTATCGGGGACTCCCCCCTTTGCACCCTGCTACCTCTTTCCCAAATCAGCTTTGTACCCCGATCTCCTGGCTCTCCTTTGCCACAGGAAGTGGCCGGCCGTCTCTCCACCGCACCTGACCAGGCGGCAGACACTCAGCGGGCCAGGTCTACGCTCTCCGCAGTGTCCCCTGCTGGGTCCCGAGCACAGAGCCTGATCCGGGTGGCCTTGTCTCACCTGCCGTGACTTTCCTTTCCATGTAACTCATTTTTGTTTTGGCAAATAAGCAAATTGACTTAATTTTTAAACACTTAAATCTAGGTATATAGGCAAAGAGTGGTACACACAAGTTTCAAATCCATTATAAAACTTGGTGCTTTTGCAGTTTATTTCTAAAGAACACATTACGTAAATTCAGAAACTGGAATCAAGGAGACTGGAGTCTATGGAAGAGATGAAAGGAAAACAGAAAGACAGGGAGACAGGCAGGTGGACAGACGGACAGCAGTCCACGCCAGCAATGGAGAACGTGAAGCAACCAAACCACTATGCTTTCCTCCTACAACCAACGGAAAAATTAAACTTGTCTCTGCCATTCTAAATCACAGGGCTCAATTCCTGATGCAAAAACAGCGGCCAGGGAGACTCACTTCACCCTCCACAATTCCAGGAAGTCTTTGACTCAAAGCAATATTCCCTTTACAAGAGTTTCCAACCTGAAACCTAACATCCCCTCGCTTCCCAGTGTCAAGTTTCTGTTCAAAACAGAAACAAGCAGGAGCCAAGTGCAAACCCCAAGCCTTCGGAGAGGCATCGCCCTCCCCACGGCTCATGGTTACTATGGCTCCAGAACTGAGACTGTTAAAGCAAGTCCCAGTACATGGCTTCCTTTCTTTATGAGTTCGGATACTCTTACATGTAGTTATATGTATCCCATCAGAGTTTTTAATGCATTTTTTACAGAGCCACAGCCCTATCATATAAGAAGGCGATATATCCGACCATTTAATCGGTAGATGGACACGTACTAAAGGAAATGCTTGACCTCGCTATTTAACAAGGTCACGCCGACCCCAAGAACTCATTGTTCACAGCCCTGTGACTGCTGGGCCCGCCACAGTCTGTTTCTGTCTGTGCCTTCAGTGGGGTCTGCAGGTGAGGGGCACGTGCGGTGAGGGTGTAAGGCGTCTCTCTGTGCGACAGTGCGAGGCTCATTGGTGCCGCCCGCCCCCACTGAGGACGCAGACAATGTTCAACCAGCCCCCGGGGCCTGGGATGTGGCTCTCTCTGCATGATGCACGTTTCCAATACAGGAGGAGAGCGCAGAGGGATTTGTGCATAAACACAGCTACGGGCTCGTACAGTGCAGACACATAAAGCAGCTTTCGAGTGTTTATCTGGACCCGGAGTTGGCTGACTCTTCCTGTGAAAGGGACGCAGGCGACCACTCGACTCTGCGGTCGCAGTGCACAGGCAGCTGGACGGTAAGTGAGCAGCTGGGCGTGGGGGCGTTTCCGTGGGACCTGCAGGTGGGCAGCTGGCCAGCCAGGCCGAGAGTGGCGGCTTGCTGACTTCGGCCAGCTAGACTGTTGTCCAAGTTCTTGGACAGAGACTTGTCCTTGCATCATCCCGATGGGGTACACAGGTGGGTTTTTGCAATTCGGTATTTTCACTCCCCCCTCCCCCCCCGGGCAACTTCCTGAGAAGACAGACACCCAGGGCGGACTCCTTGCTGACGCGTGCTTCACCTGGGAACCGCATCCACGCTGGGGTGCGGGTGAGCTCCGCGGGACAAGCTCGGGGCAAGCTCAGCGTCTGGGAGTCTTTACTTAGGGAGGTGATGGCCCTCGATCAGACCCACCCAAACAGACAAGAGGGCAAGCAAAGGGGCGCAAGGCATCCCTCTCCTGTGGGTCCCGGGGCAGCGTGAACACCTACGATTGGTCCCACCCAACTGCAGCCCCCAAGTGGGCGGTTCCACAGGCCAAGTCACCCAGTCGGGGCAAGACAGTGTGCAGACCACCCACATCACGGAGAGAGACACTTTCCATAACCTGTGTACAGAAAACCCCAGCACCTTCTATGGAGGGCAGGAAAGAGGTAAAAAGTATGATGGATTGTTATACCTTCAACTCCTTGTCCATGAAATACACACGTGTGCCCGTGTGAGCGCGCACATGCACGCACGTACACACACACCATTACTTCTGAAGGCTGAGGGTAGGCTGGACGATACCAGACCTCTCCTCTCTAGAACGATGCTAAGAGCTTTAGGACCTCAAAAAAGATGACCTAGTCTGTTTTCATCCTTTCCTGCCACCGATTTCAAGGAAAGGCTTGATTTTATTGAAATAATTGTCATATAAATCTCAAAAGACAAGTAACTAATGCTCCTACCCCGAGTCCCCAGGAGAGAAAAACCACAGGGACAAACTGCCAGGCAGGTTGAGGGAGCTGGGCAGGGTTCCCTGCCCAGTGCCGGCCCATCCGCCGAGACAGCGCCTCGTTCCTGGGTGAGAGCTTGTGCACTCACAACTTTTCAAAAGAATTCGTTTTGTTTTCAAGCCTCAGTTTGAAAATGAGAGGAAAACATGAAAGATTTACCCTATCAGAGGATTAACCTGTACAGACTTTCAAATCCCAATGCTCACATGCACAGAACCAAGAAATAAGATCTTGAACTGATTTATAATGATTCTCCCAGGAAGCACGGTGGCAGACCCACAATGCTGTTCGCACAGCCGGCTGCTTTCTACACACTTACTCCTCCCAGGGAAAAATGGAGGGGGAGAAAGACACAGGGAAACGGTGTGTTCAAAACACAGGCGGTCCCCTCCCCAGCCAAAGTGAAGGCAAACTGAGGACTAAGGTGACAGCCCCCACTCATCCCCCACCCACGAGCCAGGGTGCGGCGCGGGCAACGTGCTGGCCGCCTGCTGGCCACCTGCAGTCTGCTGTGTGGGCTTCAGCAAGTGAGTTTTGTTTGTGGGGAGAGATCATAAACCTGGTTTTCACCATCTGATTCACAGGAAGAAAGCATTTACAGAGCACTTGGAATTCATCAGTCGAAAGTTACCAAAACTGTGAGCGGCTGCGCCGGAAGCTAGATGACAACACTAACTCACTAAGCACACAGCACTGGGTCACTTCGTGCACCAGCACGCAGGCTGTCCTTTCCAACACTCGTCACGACCGTCGTGCTCCATCACTGTTCACGTGTGAGGACCCAGACAGCAGTCTCAATTTCCCCCAGAG